AAGACCCCTCTTTAAGCACTTTTATCACTAAAACATTTACATTCTAGTATTACAGAATGACATGTCTTTGTGTTGTTGTTTTACATATTTTGATGCAGACATTTTTTGATGATTCGTGAACTAATGTGTTTTCCTCTTAACTAATAAAATTATTTTTGCATTAGGCAATATTCATTTAAGCCTTGGTTAAGTGGGGAATAGTTATTTGTGCAACTAGTGAGCAATTGCACTTTGCACTCAATTTGCACATTATATTTTTCCTACAGTTACCATAAAACAAATAAATTGGCAAAGACACGTTACATATTTTTACACAGAAGTGAACTTTTAATATTACATTTAATGATACAACAGTACAACAGCTGACCAGCTGATTTACAGCCAGTGCTGCCAACGTATTTCGCGCGCATACGACCTTGTCTGCATTTTACGCGCTCACTATTTCGTGCCTTCACGTTGCAAATCTGGAGTGAGTGAGACAAAGTAATTAGAGTGAGACAATGTTAACATTGTCTCACTGATGAGCGAATTGGCCACTTTGCTTTCTCAAATCAGTGAGAGAACATGTACATTGTTAGGTAACTGTAGGAAAAACTAGTTTTCTGAACACTAGGGAACACAATGGTTTACGGTGGCGTTAAATACCTCAGATGTCGCTTCACCGTGATAAAGCGACAAACGCAACACGAGCTATGAACATAACGCCAGTAATTGAATCAACACAAAGCTTGATTGAATCAACGTGCCCTCGCGGGAGTAATAACAAGCAGAGGAAACAAAATAAAATATGAAGCACCTTGGTTGTTTTGAACGGTGAAATACACTTCCATTCATTTATTTACAATTCCAAAGTAAGCGTTTAACACTGATTTGTTGAGTTATAGATTTGATGAATTACCTAACAGTTTCTTTTTTCTAATTCTTGAAAAAAATATACCACATGTAAATAGGCTTATATGTCAATTTATCACTAAACACATTATATAAATATATCACGTAAAACTATCGTTAAAACGTAGATATATGTAAATTTAATCAGTAGAATGAATGAAACAGAAATTAAATTAATATTTCTTATTTACACTTTATGACTCCCGTGTAACGTATCACACTATTTTTCTGGCCTTCTGTGCCTTCACAATTAGATTTCAAAATTACACCCTGGATTTGTAGTAACCCATAGCATAAACGGTATGCCAATATTACAATACTATTCTCCCACCTTGGTTACTAAGTGTTGTATAATAAATGTGTTGTGTAATGTGGATGTGTGTGTATAATCACTTTTGTAACCACTGACTAATGACGCACACAGACTAACCGAATGTTTTAGTCACGCGTCGTATATTTTAGCCTATTAAGCTGGGATTGGTGAATGCTTACTTGCCATAAACATTTCTTAATTTGCCTGACGTTAGTTGAATATTTCATTAATCTCGGGCTTAGTATTTTATTCAAAACAAATAAAAAAGAACTCCTTAAGACCAGCGTCATTACATTTCAATCATATAATTAGTTAGTTAATATTTAGAATGGAATCAACATCAAGCTAAGTGTCTTAAGGCTACGGTTTTGAAGTTCCTAATGTATCTGGAGAGCATATTATTATTGAAATCATCTACTGTAGTCGAACAGAAAACTACACTTAAATTATCATTAGGCCTACTGTTGTTAGGACAACTTAAAGTTGCGTATACAGGGTTAGGCAAAAGTATGGAACCCCCCAGTTAACTTTTTAACGCATTGCAGTAGGAAAACCAAACTCGGCATTAATTTACAAAATAAAAATTGCACTTTTTCATCAAAGTTACAACTTTGCCTCAGCCCCCAAAATGGGGTATTTTGGAGGCAGCCCCAAATTTTCAAACTTAAAAACCTATCATGTGACCACTCGTTTTAAAGGGTTTATCAAGATATATTGAATGGTGAAAACCAGAGGTCAATATCGCACCCCTAATCAATATGGCAGCCATTTTAATTTAAGATGAGCAAGCAAAAGATAAAGTCTGGACACCTCCAGTTAACTTGATTACTTGTGGTAGGGGGAAAACCAAACTCGGCACATGTTTACAAAATAAAAAAAAATCACTTTTTCATTACAGTTAGAACTTGTACCCGGCTCCCAAAATGGGGTATGTGGGGGCAGTCCCAAATTTTCAAATGTAAACACCTATCATGTGACCCCTCATTTCAAAAGGGTTTCTCAAGACAAATTAAATGGCGCAAACTAGAAGTCAATATCGCTCCCCTAATACTACTTACTTAATTTCCGTGCCCGGAAATCAGACTTCGCATTTCCAAAAATTAAGTTAGCTACCGATATGGCTTTGTCATTCGCATGTAAAAGATCATCTAACGTACAAGACTGGTCTAGGCGAGGGCAGATCAGCAGATGGCCAGGATCCTGGACAGCACCACACGCACACAAGATGTTTTCTTCGTCTGGTAAGAGACCCCATTTCTGCATGTTTGTCTTGCATTTTGGTACCTCGACCCTAATTCGATTTAGGGTCTTCCACACCGTGTAATGAAGGCCTCCACCAGGAGCCAGTTCCTCCCTGGCTGGTAAGGAAGGGTTAGTCAACGTGGCCTCCCACCTTGCCCCCCGATTGATTGAGAGTGATCCATCCAGGACTCGTGTCTGTGATAAAAAGCTCTTTCTGGACCGAAGCCGCCACTCTGCAGGTTGGTGGCCGTGTAATGGGTGACGAGGGTTGTCTCTTGCTTAGGCCTTTCTGCGTCGGCAGCGACCTCTCGTCGGATTGATGGAGGGGTGATACCTATGATAGGATAGAGTTTGTGTACTGGGGTTGGTTTCAAAGACCCAGTTACAATCCGAGCCATGTCATTGACTGCAATGTCAACCTTTTTTGCATGTGACGATGCATTCCATACTGGTGCAGCGTACTCCGCAGCCGACACACTGAGTGCTAAAGCTGAGCTTCTGAGGACATTAGGGTTAGCACCCCAGCATCTGCTGGTGAGCTTCCTGATGATATTATTCCTCGCTGAGACTTTACCTCTTGTCGCAATACATTGCGCCTTAAATGTCAGTGTGCGGTCCAGTATGACACCAAGATATTCCCCCCTAATCAAAATGGCAGTCATTTTTAAATATATCTTATTAACTTTGTAACAGGTTATAGCTGGAAAACTAAACTCTACATACCTTTATAAAAAAGATAATTCACCTTTTGGCCAGTATTAAAATATTAAATTTTTAAAGTTAACTGGGATTGTTAAGACTTTATCTTTTGCTTGCTCTTCTTAAATAATTAAAATGGCTGCCACTTCGATTTGGAGTGGGATGTTGACCTCTGGTTTGCACTATTCAACTTCTCTTGATAAACCCTTTAAAATGAGTGGTCACATGATAGGTGTTTACATTTGAAAATTTGGGGCTGCCCCCAAAATACCCCATTCTGGGGGCTGGGGCAAAGTTGTAACTTTGATGAAAAAGTGCAATTTTTTATTTTGTAAATATATGCTGAGTTTGGTTTTACTACTGCAACGCGTTAAAAAGTTAACTGGGGGGTTCCATACTTTTGCCTAACCCTGTATAAGGCTTAATTATGCTTACAATCTCATCGACCTATCAAACAAATACTTGTTCACAGACAAATCTACACCACGGTGGAGTTGTGTTCTTGGAGCTGCTTTAAACTCTCATGTTTCGCATCAATCGCTAGATATTGAAGTGAAATAAAGGGTGTCCCAGTAAGAACGCCGGATTTGAGGAGCGTCTTATCCATATCTGTATTTCAATAGGAATTCCCAAATTATCAGCGATGTTATCAGTATTAGGTCCCATTTGTAGTCATGAATCGTTACACGACGGATCAATGCGTGGTCATAGATAAAGTGCACTACAAGTACGGAAGCTGCGCGCTATTTACGGCCATGACAGTTCACCAAATGATCCATCTGTCCGAAGATTGGTTTATAAGTTCGAATAAATGGGCTCAGTTCTATTCTGGGGATATTTAAAGTCGCTTGTTTTCACCAATAATCCTCAACCAATCCAAGACTTGAAGGAGGAAATGATTCGTGCCATTAATGGAATTCAACAGGAGATGTGTGAAAAAATGATGGAAAACTTTGTCAAGAGATGTCGGGCCTGTCAGTATTTAGCAGGTTGGCACTTACAAGACATAATACTCAATTACTAATCGGAGATACTATGCTTTACGATTCATGTTTCATATTGTAAATTTAGCATGAAAATATATGGTTTGTTAACATTTCAAATCCGGCGTTCTTATTGGGACACCCTTTATTAGTAGTTGTCCAATTATGAGAATCCACTACGGTATTGACCCATTTAACACTAATTTAATGATACCGAATTGTCATCATAACTAAGATTTATTATCTTTTTTTATATTGCATACTTTCCTGTCGTTATGAATTGTAGCAGCACCAGTGTAATTTTTTCAGTAATTTGAATGTGTATTTGTTTACAATTGCTGCAGTGGAGTAAAAATCTGTTTCAATTTTATTCTCATAGGAATTGGAATTCATTTTTTCATCTGGTTATATCCATGAAGAGCTTAAAAATAAGTTAGCTTTGCTATAGATTCTTATAGTTACAGGTCAGATAACTAAACACTAGCACGATAGGAAAATATTAATATGTTCAATATCTTGGTAATAACTGTGTAAACAGTTATATAAAAAAAATTATTTAAAACCCATTTTAGAGCAGATTTTTTAATTCATTCAACACCTTTGTTAGTTTAAAAAAGGACAGTCATAAAATTAATGTCATTCTGAATGCCTTCACGACCTTAGCCCATGCTTCGTTTAACACGTGTTCGTGTTGAGAGGAGTCCCTTATGAATTTAGCGATAAAACATACTGTTGTAGCATGGCTGTAAAAGATATTATGTTTGTGTCGTATCACTTAACTCCAAAGTCGTGTGCAACGTGACATTGTGTTTTATCGGGCTGCACACGAACTTAAAGCGGATCTATCCTAGGATAATCAGTTTCAAGACGATGTCAACCACTATGTTCGTCTTCTCCTCCATCGTCGCCTGCTCGGCGAGCATCCCTGACATGGGCCCATGTGATGTCCCCATATGTACGCAGTACGACTTTGACTTTGATATGGTATATACCAAAGTGACTTAAACACATTTAACTCAACCTTACTTCAATAATTACTTATCTAAGGAAGAATATAAACTGATTATGCATTTTATGTAATCTTTTAAAATATCCATATCGTTTTAACATCAATTGCAACAAATAATTATTGTCTACATCCATAGATTGTCGAAGTGGCAGTTGAGCTTAATTGTCATCACACTTAATACAAACAACAACAATAACAATAACAGATACTCACTTATTTTGAGTGGTGTCGGTAGTAACCATGAGAAACATATAAATATGCCGCTTATAGATCACTGTGTAATATGTTGCCACATTCAGCTAATCCATTACTCCAAATGCAATCGTATCTTATTTTTCAGGTATTTTTAACGCTATTGATGTCTTGTGTGTGAGTATGAATTAATAGTAAAATTTATTACATCTATATGTGTGGTTTACTATAATATTGGAAGTAATGTAAACGTAATGTTTAGTTCCACAGAGAGAACGGGGGCTGCTGGCATGTGGCTTATGGACCTGACACAAGTTTCAACCGAAACCTCAGTTCTATGACCATAAATATCGATCCAATTGGGAACGGTCAATATAGGGATATTATTACGTACTTAACGTAAGTATTAACACATACATTATACTTTTGTATTCCGAATGTAAAAATGCTTAACATACTGTTAATAAGCTATTGTACACATGTTTACATATGAAAATAATGGTAACAGCGAATACAACTAACTTGTAACTTTTAGTTTTTTACCAAACTATTAATTGATTCGTCAAATAGAACATAATACTATCTTACTATCTTATTATACTACTATCTCCTAAGATAAATGTACGGCATTTATTAACGAAAAAAAAAACAATTTGTTATTAGAAGAGAAATAGTTTGTCGAGACATTTGTGTTTAAATTGTATTAGGCCTGGATCCCGATTGTATGGGTTTGTACACAGAGGATTTTCCTCAGACCACGCGGAATTTCTAATGTTTATCCTTAACGAAAATTTACAGTTCCGGTCTCACTCGAATTTCAATACGATCCTAAACTCAAGAACAGCTGATCGAAGATCTGATAATATCAGTGATAACAGTAGAGGAGACGACGTGACGTAGACCTCCAGTCTGCTACCAACGCAGGGCCGCTCCGGACTAAATCAGTATTATGATGGCAATATTTAAATGTTTGTGTATTCGCACCATTTTAATGTTTTTATGTTAGTGACATCCTTGTTTTAATTGTGTTTTTCACGAGTTGAAAGCTTTGAAATGTTGTCTTCGCAACGAAACATGTAAGCCGATGAGCAATACTAATCATTGGACTATTTGTCGGAAGTTTGCTAAACTTATTATTGTCTAACTTTATCGTTGTTTAATGTTGTTAATTGTAATAAAAATTTATAGGAAGGACGGAAAGAGTGGTCTGTTGGCGGAAGAGGTTATAACCAACAATGGTCACGGGGTTTGCACCGCTACAACAACAGGTAGGTTTCGATTGTACTCTAAGCAAATAACAATAAATGTTATGTTTACAATACACATAATAATTACAGCTATCAACTATGAGGCTGTGACTTGTATTGTATTTATTATCGTAACTAAGGGCTAAAACATATTTATTATAGTCAATTCACACAATATGATTAAAATAACATTTTAAATAATGCAGATATTGATTCATCATAGTTGCTGTTAAATGTGTGGTAATGATATAATCTGGAATGAAACTGATGATTTTAAGGAATTGTAATTTTAGTCAAAGAAGTTAATTTAAAAATGTATTGTAGGCTATGTTTAAACATTATGTATTGCATTTTAAAGTTTTTTTTTTTAATTTTAGACAAAGAAGTATACACAATTAACTTCCTTCATTATGACCCAGGAAAATATTGCTTTTACTACATCTGCAGTTCAGAAGGAAGTAAGTATATTTAGTATTAATTACAAAAAGTTTAATTTATTATTGAATATATCCAGGACAGGTTCGAATTTGAAATTTGAGTTTGAAATACTGTATATGTGTATAAGTTGCTTTAAATAAAAAATGCATTGTCAAAACGTACTATCAGTTCTAATATGTACAATTTTTTTTTTCAAAATGTAAAATATAAAGATTGGTGCGTCCGTTTCCATGATTTCAAACAGCTGATTATTACATAAATGCAATGGGCGCATTTATAAGTTTTTTTACAAGAAGGTTATACGTTATGTATTGTCTTGATTGCTTATTTGAGTACAACAAAGCCTGTCATAAAATTCAAAGAATATCAAAAACAATCTAAGTTATTTTGGCAACATTTTGTGCATTCTAGCTTGTCAGTAAGTTTCAATGCTTGAAATAACTACAGTTTGTACGGGTTACGCAGGGTTCCGTCTCAAACCCTTGTGTAAAACCGTGGATTGTGGTGTGTGATGTTCCCTATTGTGCCAGCTTGACTCTGTACAAACTCAGCTTCGATTCTCTGCACAGCGTCTGGTGGAGTCTGAGGACGGCCCGAACACTTTCTGGCACACAAACATCCAGTTGTCTTAAATTACTTCATACAACGAGCTATGCAGTTCTGACGAGGAGCCTCATTCCTGAATTTGTTCCGAAAGCTCACATCACTAACAGTAGCATTAGTACGAGCAAATTCTCAAATATAACACGCATTTTCTTGGTTTTTGTAGCTATTTGTTGGCAGGTTTCGTTGTAAGCCTAAGCAACTATTAAACCTTGTCAAAACAAACTTATAACACGCCTTTTCCATTGTTGTAACAATCAGTTGTTTGAACTCAAGGAAACGGACGTAATAACCGTTTAATTTTGTACCATAATTGTTGAATTACACCTATAGATTACCTATAAGATTAATCCAGCTTAGTTCTAGCTGGCGTTTATTGTTTTTAAGATTCACTCGCTGAGTTCCTTTACACAACCATATGCATGTTACAATATACCTCTGTTATGTTTAGATGACTACAAGATAGACTACAGATACGTCTTGGCCCATAGACTACTGACAGCAGATGAAAAATCAGCTGTCTACGCTATCGACAAAGAGTATGGCTTTCAAGGCGAACTAATACCATTCGGAATATCTAACCAGAAAGATTCCATTTGAAAACTACAACACGTAGGCCTATATCTAATAAAAATATTTTACGATAGTGTTGTATAACGTTATTTTAAATACTTAATCGATTGTTTTCACAAGAATATATTATATGGTAATGTTTTTATTTTTAATGCGTGATTGCTAATTTCGTCCTAATTCACTGGGGTAAATATGCAACATGATGATCATTGAAATTATAGTAAATAGGACTTAAAAAAATATAGTGGTACGTGTTATGCGTCAAAGAAAGACAGTGTTGCAAAACCCAATAATTTACAATTATTGAATTTTTTTAAGTTTAGATTAAAGGTACTAATGTTCTGCCATACGTTGTATTCCTCACGAAATCGTCCCTGTTAAATGTGTAAAGATAAACTAATTAAAAAAAAATATCTTTTCTTTAACAAGATTCTTTCTTTTGTTCCTTGAACAATGTTTAAGACAAAGTAAATCATTTGCAATGTCTATACAATGAATGGAATGATTGAATTGAACTCTACAATTTAAGAATTAGACTTTATTGAAGAAACAGAAATCTACAGAATACTCTAAATTTTTCCAATAGATTTTGCTAGAAAATATTACGTTGAATATTAACTGTTTGTCTTGTAAATACGTGCTAAAACCCAAATCTTCACTATACCTCCTTCTGGAAATGGCTCGATAGTCTAATAAGTTTATCGATAGACTAACAAGCACAAACAGTGGTACTAACGTTGTATTTAGAGTCAGGCCATTTACATTTTTTCCAAGCAACTGTTCACAAATCTTAAAGAATTCCCAAAAAGGAAAGTAGAAGTAAAGTAAGAAGTAAAATATTTCCCACTGTATTTGGCCATTTAAAACTTACTCATAATATGGCCATATATATCATACTTTTGTCAATTTATAAGTAATTGTCTTAAGGTTGGAACATGGAAGAATGGACAAAACGGAGGCATGGACTCATAGGCGAATATTCACGTCATTGTACTACTCAAGAAAAATATTCTGAAAACTACAATTTCAAAAGTGTATTCATTACCAAAATAAAGTGTTGCAATCTCAGATTCAAAAATGTCGATTGCACATTAAATTATATTTTGTACACAAATGAGTTACTAAAATATTATTAAAAGAGCATTTTAATAAAAATAATAAATAGATCAGTAGTAATCAGTTTTAAGTTTACTTAACGTATGCAGGAAATCCCCATGTAGGTTATAAGATTACACAGGTTTCACGGTACTGTTCTTTGCTAACACATCCACGTTTAGTCGAGCGCCTTATGCATTTATATTGGAGAACACAGTGTTGTTAAAATTGCGCCAATGGAGTTTTATGGAGGAAACCTAGTTCATGATAATAGCTTTTATAGATTTTCACAAGTTTTGCAATAATGAGCACATTTATTGACCTTTTATCTTGAACTGTATACAATAATACTGTTTACCACAACACATATTTATAGAACCTATTGAGTAAGACAACTTTTTATGTGACAAACATTATAGGTTTAAAAATGTTATAGTGCACATGAAACGTTTACTCCACCACTAAATTCATTTATTACTGACATAAATCCAGTACCAATGTGCATTTTTCTTGGTTTAAATTTATTTTCTTCCAGTTGACGTTTTCCGATTACCTATTTTATAGGTATAGTCGAGTAAATCCGTACGAGAACCCTAAAAAAATTGCTTTAAATTGTTTTATTGGTTATTTTGACTTAGAATTATGTGTATTTTCAAGGAAAAAAAGTCTAATGAAATCGGAGTCTCGGAAGTCCAAAATTCAAGATGGCGTCCAAGATTTTGGTCAAATGTGTCCGTTAGCACAATAACTCAAGCAAAAATGATCGGAATTCGATGAAATTTGGTAAAAACATGTAAACCTACATTTATTTGAACGAGTTCGCGAACCAGCATGATCGGACCATGGGAACAGGGGTTTATGGGGGGTTTTATGGGGTAAAAATTGGTTTTCCCCATTTTTGACCCTTAAAACGTAAAATTTTGCAATTTATTTCGAAACCATTTTAGGGCTCAGAAAAAAAAAAACAATTTAGTACATTAAAGCGTTGTCATGGGCCTAATACCTAGTTACGGAGAAAATTAAAAAAAAAATTAAATTTAAAATTCCCATGTTATTCTTACGGAGAATAAGAAAACTTGTTGTAGTTAGCCTATATATTAATATATTTTTATCAAATTTGGAAAATGCATTTGTTTTATACAAAACTATTTAACATTTTACTAAAAACACTTTTTTACCCTCCCTGTCGCAGCAAACCGAAGTACTAGTTAAAGTAGTGCTATTTAAATAGGGAATAAATGTGATATTTTTAATGTGATATTTTAGTGTAAATTCAATCAGGCAAATTGAAATTCGCTTAGGGTGCAGGTTTGCTGCGGTGGGGGTATTTTAATTTATGACTATTTTTTGCTTGAAAAATCCAATAATAGGTCTTAAAATAAAGATCACAAGCTTACTAAAATTCAACATACATATTTAATTTACTTAAATAAATATCTATACATTTTTAGCCCGAAAGGATTTTTTAGATAAGAATAGGCTTAGATAATGACTGTCTAAGAGAGAGAGAGAGATGCCATGTAGAATTAGTTAAGATTTATCCGGATCTGTATAGTGGACAAAACAGTTTGTATAGTTGAATTTGTTAGCGGAACATACACAAATAGATTAAGATGAGGTCTCCAGAAATATGCCTTTTGATGGTCGAGCCTTAAGGCCAAACAATCATTCTCTTATCGTTCTTCACACATTTATGCTACACATAATAACTATTTTACATGTTTCAATATTTTTAAATTGTGTTTGGTGGATGTCCTATAAAGTTGGACGTAAACTATTTATAGCTTGATATTTGGAGATTAAGAGTTGACTACTATTGCTATAATTTGTTTGGATCCCTTTAGTTAATATTTAATACATAATAAATTTAATATTTATGGCGTTGCTTGTTCTTAGTAGAACCTGATACGAGTACAATTCAACTTTTTAAAGTAGAGTCATACTCATTTAGTTTTGTTAAATAAAGACCAGCAACAAATACCTGTCAAATTGGGGATTCTATTGCAAATATTTACGATATCATCGTTTGTGTATAAAAATATTTTTGTGTTATACGGAGTTTTATTGGTATGGACACATTTGCAAAGATACTCTCCTCACATAATGATACTGGTTATGAAATATCACCCGATAACACCAGCTATGTGTCATAAAGCAGTTATGAACATTAGGTATATGTGTACTTATCAACGTTTTATAGTGTCTGTAATTAAACTTTATTCCATATCACATCAATATATTTCAGTCATGAATCTAAAAAACACACCGTACAGTTATTAAGGGGACAATGTTTCACATTAGTTTATTAATGATTTATGTTGGCCTGTACCAAATCATTAATCAATTAAAATTCCAGACATTACAATTTTGCATTGCTATGATTAAGCCTATATTTTAATGATCGTGAGAGGAACTAATACTGATATCAACAGTTGATTTACACAAACAAAAAACTTCAACCTTTAACTAATTCGATGAATAAAAGTTTGTTTATAAAATTAATAAGGTATTGTTACTAGTTGTATATTAATTCAGAAGTGTTTTAGACATATTGCTGTTTATAAAATGGCGATGATTAGTAATAATTGAAATTCTAACTGCTTTATCTCAACTAGAATATTTTCTATTAAGATGTCAATATCTCAGAACGTATGGAAAGGTACTATTTTTGTTATGCTTATTCTCATTTTAGTGTCATACATTTAACTGGTAATTAGTTTAGTTTTTGCCTAAAAGCCTTTGTAATTACAATCAGTCTGGATGGACTCCATTATTTAATCGCTCTAATGATACACTTGGGTCTTCAGGCCAAACATCATTAATTTTGCTAACGGTCGTCAACAAACAAGATGGAGTTGAAACCTCGCTTGGCTGGAATCACTTTAATGATTATTTCGCTTAAGGTGAGCCAAATTATTATAACCCGTTTTGCCAAAAAGCAAAATTTAATAAATGGAAAATTTGATATCGTTACGTAAGTTTAAGGAACTGTAATACAAACTAAATTGACAAGAATCGTATAAAACTTTGAACTATTCAGTTAACAATCATACAAAGATAAATTGAGGGGTATAATACAATTACAAATCCGTTAGGTTTTGATTACTTCATGCAAAGATAGTTTGTTGCTACTTTAATAGTATTTTTTAACACTCAAGCCTCACACAAATTTGCACGAATAAATCAATAAAGTCCAAATCAAATATCAATAGACAAGATATGATATAGCATAGCATGTTCAAACAAATTTGAACCACAAACCAATATTCAATAACAATTTTTTTTATCTATAACTAGTTACAATATATGTCAATATGTGACTTATTGAAACGTATGTGAAAGCGTTAACAGAATTAGTCCAAAAGCGACAGTCTCAATTTAACCTCTGTTTACTGCAGTAACTAGTTTAATTTCGGTCTGTGGACAACTTAAGTCTACGGTTACCCTTTTAACGTCCTTTTCTCCTAATCTTTTAAATTTTAGTCAATTGTAAGTATTGTCAAGTGCGAATACGATTGTGAAAAGTTTTATCGAAGTATACACTTGTGTGACAAAATGTTTAGTATGCAACAATAACAACTAATACCAATACCTACTTTAATATGGGTTAAACATTCAGTGCCATTGTTTCATAATTTTTAAACTTACTCTTCCCATAAATTTCATTCAAATTTTGTTTTGGGGTCCCGATATTGTTTAAATTACAGGTATTTGGTTCTAAGACATCTAAGAACTAAAAAAATCTGTTTTCAACACATGTTATTTAGAAAACACAATGATGTTTTAAAATTAGTCGTAGTGTTTAAAATAAAATTAATTTGAACAATTGCAAACATTTTTACATCACCAATTTTTTTATTTATTCGTTGGGATACTGGTAAAATAGCCCCTGACGTCATGTAGTCGACACGTCTCACCGCAGACACTCTAGCACTGACCAGCGTCGCGCCACTACCGCTGTTCGTCATAATGAACATTTAAATTTGTTCTTTTTAAACTATGTTACATTAACAGTTATTGTATCAATATATCTCTCTGTTATGTACCAGTTCCGAGTGAGTAATTTGTTCTCCAGCTATTGTCTACACGGCTTTACGATTACTGCTACCATCTCGTTGATGCCGCTTTCGGGCCTGCTTGGTTCATTCCT